AATTCATAACTAAGACCACATCATAAGGTAAGACAAATGTTTTTTACTTATTTTTTCTTTCAAAAATTTCGTATTTACATGCATTATAGATATTGCTATAATCTGCTAGTTAAATGCTTAGCTTGGGCTGCCTGTGACTGAATCAATGACCTTTCTAGCTTTAGATGTGTCTTGTGTGGCCCCCTTTCAAATTCGATCAAGAAGAAACTTTGTTTATCAATAACAAAAAGGCATATATTTTATAGACATCTTATATTTGCGGCATGTAAAATTTATTTTCTTGACCTTAGAGGTCAATTTTAATTAAAAACGTAAAGGTTTTCGTTAAGATAAGTAGAATGAAATAGAACAAAACACCAACTTGAAGCTATAATAACTCTGTTTTAATGGACGTTTCGGCACTTCGGCCTTCTTCAGCAAACTCTGGTTTTCGTTAAGATATATATCACTAAAAAAATCGTGATTGGGAATCTTTTAGGGTGCCAAATTTGAGTTTCTGGATATTTGCATTTTTGCAATCTCTAGGGGTGTTTGGAAAAGGCGAGAAAGAGCGCGTCGATATTATGTACTTATTGACTGAGACTATTAACCTTAGTTATAGAGCAAGCACAAGCGAGTCGAGTTAACTGTAGCAACCCAAAATTCATCAATGTTTTTCGGCTTCTACATCTTCAATTTATGTGAAAACTACATCCTCAATTTATGTGACAAAAAAAATCAATAAAAAATCAATAGTTGAAAAAATTTGAATTTAAATTTCCAATAGTCAGGCGCTTAGCGTGGACTTAATTTTATGCACATGTCAGGGACCGCGACATATATTTTGGATCTGGGGGTCTAACGAACGCCAAAGGCGGAAGTATTAAAAGAGTCTGGTCCTCGCCGATAAAATTTTGGAAAATTTGGAAGAAATAACTCTTGGAAATGCGATTTCCAGCATTTTGAGAGACATCGAAAATTATGAAAATTATGAATAAAACTTAAGGCCCCCCCTCTGTTAATTAGGTAATTTTAATTTGAGCCCCCCTATCTTGCCATCAATTTTATGTAATGCCCCCCCCCCCCCCCTCCTGGCAATTATTACGCAGTCCCTAAGTACATAATTTTATCATATGACAGCGTTTTTCATGTAAAAAAATATAAGCGCGCGGAACTTCAAGCCGGGGTTTGTACGGACCTGTCGCGAAAAGGCGTACGGACCCCATCACGTGACCATTTCCCAAAGGTTTTTTAAGAGCGCGCGTAGGGTCGAAATACGGGTCATATGGACATGTCGGTCATGTGATAATGATTTTTATCTGAGTTTTTATCATTGGAACTGATTTAATTTAACAACGTTTGTCAAACCCTTTTTTCAAGACTTTAATTTCATATATATTATATGACAGGCAGAATATTACATGGTCGCTTGGAGATACGAATTTTATCTTACTCGATGTATACAACACAGGTTTCCGAAAGGGTTAGGTTTAGGGTATGGCATAGGGTTAGGTTATATTGAGGTATATAGAGCGTATAATGAGTGTTGTATACATTGAGAAAGAGCCGTGTTGAAGATCTTTTGCATATCCGCGCATCTAATGTCTAGTCTCCTTCTCGCATATTCCCTGTCCCTTTTCTTATATTCTGAAATAGCATCATTTTCAATGCATTCTTCTTAAATTTGAGTATGTTAGTACCATTTAAAGCGGATATATTATGTTTGTGTGACCACACTTACAAACGCTTGTAACGCTCTGGATCGTAACTCAGAGCAAATTTGCAAATTTACTACAATAAGAATTAGTCGTGATTTGTTCATTGTCGTGACTTGTTAAAAATATAATACATGTGTTATATGCGAAGTTATTATACTACTTACCACTCCCACCATCATCACCCTTGCTCTAGCTGCCTTTTTGGAGAACATGATTCCTTAGGACTAACGCTCTCATTAAAATCAAAAACGGCACTGAACCGTGCATGTCCCAGCAGCCAAAACACAACAACTAGCGGTCAACCATGAACGGTTTGTAAACTTTCTTTTATGAAGGTAATATGAACTAGGTTATAAAATTTTTTATTCAGGTCACGAATTGTTACTTTGGAATGAGATCAAGGTTATATTTATCCCGTAGAGAGTCAGTTGAGCGTCGATTCTGTATTTCCCTTTGACCCGATACACTAGAACTGACACATATGCATTATTATTTTACTAAGCACCCTACTACCTAGAATCAGAGCACCAAACCACTAATAAGATCCAATGGGGTGCAGGGGTATACCAATAGAGTGATGACGTCACAAAACGAAAATAGTTGACGTCTTGGAGGGTCTCAATGGGGGGTGGGTCCGCATCACGCCTCACGGCTAAAAAATTGGCTTTTTCACGCCTCACGGCTAATTTTTCTCATTTTCACGACTAACAGTTAATTTTTCAGCCGTTTCACGGCTCACGGTTAACCCCATTAAGACCCTCGTCTTGGGTTCCATAGTCTGAAAGTGCATCATTTTCAAGGCAGTCTTGCTAAATTTGAGTGTCTTAGTGCCATTTATAGCGGAGATACGACAATTTTATATTTTCGTGTGACCACCTTGTATATGTGCTCTAGATCGAAACTCAACCATAACCCAACCATAACATCATTTTCAACAAATCCGTAAAAAAAGCATTAGTTACACTTCGGAACTCTATTCTTCGTTTTCAACCCATACGTCAAAACCCTTGACGTCACAAAGCGATTCACAGAGCGAAAAATGGCGTCCAAGCCGATCATCCTTGAATGATTTTGTTGGCAGATCTTGTATAACAGTTGGCATATAGCGAGCTCTCGCTCTGTTGATCAGTTCTTAGTCATAGCAAGACGTGRCTTTCGTTCAAACGGCTGCCTCTGCATATCATGACATATTCTATGAATCTCATTATATATCTATCAACAAGCTTTTTTTGCAATTAATTTTAATTTATTAGCTTTGCCCCTAGTATGGGCAGGGACACCGCAACAGCGTGAGCCAATTACTGCGGACCCTGTACTCTCACACTCACTACCTCTACATCAAGTATTTAGCACACAACACTCCTCACATGTTGATTTTTACTGAGGGAGGAAAACCGGAGGACTCGGAGAAAGACCCTCGTGGCAAGGGAGAGAACAACACATCAAACAAACTCAAAATCACATATGGTCCGTGTCCGGGAATCGAACCCGGACCAMAGCGGTGAGAGGCCAGTAGCTTAACCACTAGACCACCCATGCCACCCATTGACTGTATTAGGGTTCGTAGAGATATTTTCATACAAAACTCAAGGACTTTTCAAGGAAAGAACAATACAGTCAACTTTGAGAACCTTTTGGTCGCACAATGGTACAAGTGGTATCGAAAAAAAGATTGATTTCTTGTCATTTTGCTTTAAAGCTTGGCTAAAGGATACCTAAAACATTACTTTATAGCAACCAAGACTGATTCAAGGACTAAATTACCATTTTCAAGGACCTTTTTCTCCAAATTCAAGGACTTTTTAAGGAAAATTCGTAATCAAGGACTTTCGAAAGACCTATTGTAGCTCAAAAATCAAGGACTTTTCAAGACTGTACCTGAACCCTGCTGTATGACCAATCTATAAATGGTAGCCTGCGAAACAATTTCACGAAAGTTTATTTATCAATATCAATAATTGCATGGATTGTACAGGGGCTGATCCAGGATGTTTTTATGGGGAGGCCACTAAAATGGCGCGAACTTTTGGCGGGAAATTTGCATGGCGGATTAGTTTGGACAACGTATCAAATAGAAAGTTCCCACTAAAATAAGCGAATTAATTAGGAAACTAGCCGAGTTCACTTGTTATTTTTCATTTTAGAAGATTTATTTGTTAAAAAAAACATGTACGAGAATTTGAGTTTTCCCAAAAAGGTAGGCGGTCTCCCAGTCCCCCGGTTCCCCTAAATCCGGCACTGTTGTTCGGATTTCACATCATACTGAACTCAAGATTTCTGTTCATTAGGTGGAACCTTTCAGGTTGTAACAAATAAAGGAAGCAGCATACATTGGATTGGTGAGACCTCTTCTTGAGTCAAGTCTTGGATCCGTACACTGAAAACCTCAATAATGAATTAGTGAAAGTCCAAAGGCGCGCAGCACGTTTTGTATTATCGGACTATAAGAACTATGAACCAGGAAGTGTAACAAGACTCTTAGATCAACTTGGACCTCTCTCAAAGAGCAAAGAGTTGACAGACTTTGTTTATTTAACAAAAGAATTGAAGAACAGAACCTGCATTCCTACACATTCAATTACCAAGCCTTCTCGTCAAACAAAGAACATGCACAACCAACATTTCATCCTACTTTTTGCACGGACAAACATTTATAAATTTAGTTTTATTCCTGGAATAATTTACCCCAGCATGCTGGTGATTCTCAATTTAGAAATTACCTACAATCTAGATATTAAAGGGACACTGTCAATGCCACGCATGCGCGAGTTAACTTGAAAAGATTAGGCTGTTTTCAAGTTTACGACTCCAAGTTGGCGCGAGCATGACAAAAACTGAAGTACTCGTAAACATATCTAGAATATTCCAAAGTGTGTCAAAACATTGATTTACCTCGAAAGTAATACTTTCAAAGACAAGACTGTAAGACTGTTACTGCGCATGTCATCCATTGACCTGACACGACCTTTGATCGTCCGCGGTGCAAGGTATATTACTAGTTGTAGGGTTGCATCTTTAATTAAAGTGAAGTGAAGGGCTCGCGGAGATTACGAATTTTATCTTCGAGTGTTGACAAGATCTCTCACGAGTGAGCGTCGTATCTCCAAGCGACCATGTAATATTCTATTTATCATGTAATTATCAATAAAAGCAAATTATATGGTAAAATACCATTTTTTTCTTGCTTCCACTATATCATAGAGAAACCTCGAATGTGTTATTTTCACTAGTGAAAATATCAATTTTACGAAATGGAGAATAGGTACCTCATAGGTAATTATATGATAAAAGAGGTTATTAGCCGAGCGCGAGTTCTTGACGGGAAGATACCAGGCTGGGTTATGTTGGATGATTTCTTCTCGTCCAACATCTGGTCCGTGTCATCTCGTCCGCATGTTGTATTCGTTTGAACGCTTCTTTCAACAATGTTGATCCAAAGCAATTCGCGCATTTTTCGATAATTCGATTTTTAACGGAGATTCATGTCTTTTTCCGTATTTTTGCGGACCCTTAGAAACCCTGCAAATATTAGACTCTAACTTCGCAGTCAAAACATGGGTCATAAAATATGGCATGACGCAAAACGACTCTAACAATTAACCCTGGTTGATCGCTGTTCATTGAGGAGTTATAAGCAAACTAGGTCATATACTATCTAACAAGAACGACAACAAACAAAGTATTTCAATGAATTGTACTCAAGACAACCCTGATATCTGATGGCGGGTGATAAAATAACTTTGCTTTTACACAATTTTCCCAATAAAATGACAGTACTCAGTACTGACTATTTTCATTCATGCATTTTGTAGTCGGTTTTGTAGTGTGTGGTCACTCCATGTTGTCTACAGTAGTGGTAGTCATCACTGGATTCTCACAGTGTGTGGAGTCACTGGATGCAAGGGTTGGGTTTTCCTCACTTGAGACAATCCCAGGTGTTTTTTGTTGGCATGTGTTACTTTGTTCAATATCCATTTCGTCATCTTGTTCTGGTTTCTCTGGAGACTTTTCTGGTGCAGGGGTCATGCTTTCTTCACTTCCATCAGTTCTTGTTGAGCACGTGGTCTCTTGTGATTTAACATTCCCGTCATCTTGTTTTGGTTTCTCTGGAGCCTTTTCTGGTGCAGGGGTCGTGCTTTCTTCACTTCCAACAGTTCTTGTTGAGCATGTGGTCTCTTGTGATTTAACATTCCCTTCATCTTGTTCTGGTTTCTCTGAAGCCTTTTCTGGTGAGTGGGTCGTGCTTTGTTCAATTCCAACAGTTCTTGTTGAGCACGTGGTCTCTTGTGATTGAACATTCTCATCATCTTGTTTTTGTTTCTTTGAAGCCTTTTCTGGTATGTCGTCTTCGTGCTGATCATTGCCTTCAGTCTGGCTTAGGATGGGAGATGAGGGAGGGGAAGGAAGGGTGGGAGGAAAGTACTTCATCATGAGTGACTGATAGATTTCAATATCCACTTCCATAAACAAGCAAAATATGATCCTATCGACCTGAAATAAACAAGACAACTATTTGACACAACTAAAAAATCCGTAAAAACAATAATTTCAAGGTATCAGTTAATCACTTACAGCATCTTTATTTTTCTCCAGCCAACTTCTACTAGTACGTAATGCGACCTCTGCAGCTTTTTCATTTGGATAGCCTGAAATTGGATTAAGAGTTATGACTGATACAACATAGTCTCCCTAGCTGTTTACTACTTGACGCGTTAAAGTTTGAGCGCGAAATGATGTAAGTTTGACGTCATTTGACGCATTACCAGTGTTAATTGTATAGAACAATATTCACAGATATATATTTATTTATTTTCTATTTAAGTGTTTTGTGCAGAACTGTTTACGTTTCCTTTGTCCGATAAGTAACTGGTATGTAATGATATGTTTCCCTTGAGTATAGTATTCTGTTCTTAGTAGTTCGTAATATGTAAATTCGTTTAGTTTTCTCATGTTGTAGTCAAGCCGTGTAATTCACCGACAAGGTAAATTTGAATTGTATTTTCTATATTTTATTTCTTGTAACCAGTAGATAGTAGATTTGTAATGTACCGTATACTTAATATTTTGTTGATTGTAAATAGAACCACACACTTATTTAACTGTGCGTTACTTGGTTGATGAATTTTGGCTACAACAACCAGATAACCCTCCCCAGGGTCACCCTACTGTAGCGTTTACATGGCGAAAAGTTGGCTCTCTAGGAGGGTAACCCTACCTATTAAATAGGGTGAACCTACCCCTAGGGTGACATGTAAAGCAAACCCGCGAAATCAATAGCGTAGGATCACTCTACGGGTAGGATGAACCTCCTAGTAGGGTGACTCTATTTCCATGTAAACAGGGCCTTACAAGGTCAATGACGGCAACTACAAAGTAAAGAACAAATAATCCGTAAAGTCTTACCAAAAATGCCAGTTGAAATACAGCAAAAGGCCTGCAAAGTAAAAAAATACCAATTGAACCCACAGCAGACACAAAGTTACTAGCAGAACCAGTGATATAACAAGCGAAAAACATGTACCCACCACAGTTCTAATTTCATGCTTTAAACAGAGTTCTAAGCAGCTATTGTAGCAGCTTTCCAGTTTGTCTTCCTTTTCTCCAACAGGTCCAACAGTGTGGAGAACAACTTAAGTTTCAAAGACAAGACATGTTACTGACACTGTAAATTCTTCAATAAGTATCATTCTCCCCTCCTTCCAACCACTTTCCTTTTCTCTTTAGCCACCTTCCTTCCTTGTTTTGTCACCTTCCATCCTTAATTAACAAACTTCATTTATCTTCATTTATCCACCTTTCTTCCTTCTTCAGCCGCCTTCCTTCCTTAACAACCTTCCTTCCGTTTTTTATTCAGCCGAATTCCTTCCTTCTTTAGCCACCTTTCCTTTTTTAACAACCTTCCTTCCTACTTCAGCCACCTTCCTTTCTTATTTAACAACCCCCTTCCTTATTTGACCTTCCTTCCTCCTTCAATAACCTTCCTTCCTTCTTCAGCCACCTTCCTTCTTCAGCCACCTTCCTTTATTATTTAACAACACTTCTTCTTATTTAGCCACCTTCTATCCTTCTTCAGCCACCTTCCTTTCTTATCTAACAACACTTCTTCTTATTTAGCCACCTTCTATCCTTCTTCAGCCACATTCCTTTCTTATTTAACAACACTTCTTCTTATTTAGCCACCTTCTATCCTTCTTCACCTATTCTGATATTCGTCCTTTTTTTGTGTTTGATCTGCCTGTCTTTTTTTCACTATTTCCTCATATTTTCCTTTTCTTTAATACCATTTTTCATTCTTATTTCTTATTTTCTCATTCAAAGCATTAATACAAGATATCTAATGCACTTACATTTTGCTGGAAGTTTGTGTCCTGAAAGACCAAAAAAAAAAAAAAAGATCATGAACAGTTCTAGAACTCATTAATAATTCATGAGCTATTAGTCCAATGAGAATCAAACTATTGGGTCACGTGTTGGGCCTTTATATCCCAATAAAGCGCTGATGTTTTATTAATCAGTTCTATATCAGATATAAACAACTGATGTTCAAGGTCATCAGCACTTTATCGCAACCCAACACTAGCAAATGTCTCAGTTTTAATGTCGCATCATAGACCTTTGCTAGGTTTTAAATCAGTTTGAATCAATGTGATGACATGCAGTATAGCATAGACTAGCCGTTCTTACGTGTGGGATCAAAATTCTTTCAATTGTGGCAAATGCACATGCTCAGTAGAAGTTTAATATGCATAATCACTGTTTTCGCATTTTTTAGCTTTTTTTCTAAAATGATAACAATTTCTGGATGTTGGAGTTCTAGAAGTAGTATAAAGAACTCAATAGTGTGTTTTATCGGGACTAAAGATCCTCGCCTTCGGCTCAGATCTTTATCACCCAATAAAACACACTCTTTTGATCTTTATACACTACTTACAGTACAAAGTGGGGCCAACTAAACACCTATTGTAAATTGTTCATTTTATCCAATAAAGATTTTAGGCCCAAACTTCGTTTGGAGATAGATGTTGTTACATGCAACATTTTGACATCCTATACTAGAACGTTTTCACATATTCACAATCAAAATATAAATTGTAATGTTTCTTTTGAAAATGAAAGATTAAATAGCGAAAAGAATTCTGAAAACAAAGTTTCAATAGCATATTTTAGTGTCAAGAATTTATCAATTTCTAAATTAATTATTTTCCTATCTTCTCTGTTGTTTTATGGCTAAATCTGGACTCTGTAGCCTTCACTCAGTTGGCAATATGAGTCATATTGACATAATATAATATGCTGTAAAAAATATATACAATAAAAATAAGGTTATCAACATTTACAATAAGAAACAAAAATTATTAAAAAATTATTAAAATTATTTTCAAATAATTTCATCTCAGAATAAAACTAAAAAGTGTACTGCTAGGGTTTTTATGTAATTCCCTTGGGGAAAAGCTTGCCCATAAAGCACTTTTAAATTAAAATTTGCTTATTGAGGAATGGTTGTAATTTTTGCATTGAGAAACCCTCAAATATTTTACGTAGGTGTTCATTTTGTTCTTTGTAAAGAATGGACCATGAAAACGTATGATTTGGATTACGTTTGAGGTGGCGAGCTGGCTCAGATGTATGAAAGTGATCGGAATGTTCACTTGTACGAATATCTAGGTTTTGTAATGTTTCTCTGATTGTTCACTGCATGAGCAGGTACCATGGTAAACCACATTAGATTGATGGATGTTTTTGTCTTTCAACGTAAACATGAACTTCTGATTTTTCTTGTTTTGCATTGACATCATAGTTATAAAAAATTATAAAAAATCATTCAGGGATGCATTTTGGGCCATAAATTGTTCCTTTTTATGCCAATAGGAAAACTTTTCACCACTTTTGTGAATGTATGTATGTATGATCTCACCTGAGGTTAGCTTGGCTTGGCCAGTCTCACATCCCTTTAACAAACGACACTCTTGTTTAAGTGAAGGCCCAGCTGCTCTGTGAATACATCCATCAACTAAAATATGAAATTTGTCAATAAATCAATAAAAGCAATTATAATCATGATTAAACTTTTGATAGAAAAATAGAATGAAAAACAAATTCAAGTTATGCTTACCACCACCACCACCAAGAAGAGTTTGGTTGGCTTACAAACAAACAAAAAATAAAACTTTAATGATTTTGTCAAAGTTGTTCAGTTGCAATTAATTTTTAGCATGTAGCATTTATGTTTTATTATGAGCTTTTAGCCCAATCATCATTGCTTATTTTGATCACATAACCCTGTTTTACATGTAACCTGAGTTAATACTTAAAGTGGCTGTATTTACTTAATTTATTTATACTTGAACCTGTGTCTACAGTACTGTATTTTTAAGGTGTCATGTATAAAAATATTGAAAAATGATTAATAATAATTTGATAATTTAGCATGATTTTCTAGAATGGAATCAAACAGGATGATAGTATCAAATACCTGCATTAACAATGGCATCAATTTCAAGTGTTGTGATGTCTCCAGTCCATAGTGACACCTTTTCATTGAGTTCTTCATTGAATGGAAATGGACATTCATCTTTTGAGACAGAAAAGAAAAGCCACTGACACAAAGTAAAACTCATGATCATAACAATATATTAATTAAAGGGTTATTAACCGAGTGCGATTCTGTATGGTAAAATCAGACCTCGGTCTTTTATGTATGGATTGTCAAGACCTCGGTCTGATATTTTACCATATAGACCAAGCAAACAAGGTTAATAAACTTTTTATTATATGACTTTTTTCGTACATTGCAAAAGCAAAAAACAACAACAACAACCAAGGAAAAAACGCAAAATTGTGTTCTTCAGGGCCAGACATCATTACATGTATTTTTTTCTTTCAAGCTTTAGTGTTTTTAGTTTTGTAAATAGAGCGTTTTCAAAGTCAAATTTCCAGTCTGGATACAGAAAAAGACAGACTGGCAGTCTGGATATGTGAATTCACGGACCAGTTTTCAGCCAATCAGAGTGCACGTACTATCTAAGTCATATAATAATTTATAATATATTTATTAGCTTGTTATATTGCATAACCAACTATTAAAAATAACCTAATATTTTCCACATATCATTACTATACTTGCAAACATTGAGGGAGTTTTGAAGAGTACAGAGAGAGTGGAGACTACGACCTTTGTTTGAACAACTGACTATAATTTAGAATTGGTGATATATTACCTGGTTTAGAGACTCTGGAGTGAAAATAGTAGTTATTATCAACAAAATACTCTGGCCATGTTTTAATGTCTTTCATCAATACAAAGTTTTCTCTGCACTTGTAGAGTTTTCTTTTTTCCTTTAAATCCATGGTTTCATATTTCTTCCACTCTGGTTTTTCCTTCTCATCTTTCATTTCCCCTGTAATGAAACATTTCATAAAATAACACCAATAATAATGAGAGGAATATAGTCCCAAGTACATTGGAGTCAATAATGCACCAGTCAAAGCCCACTTATTGGTAGAAAACTGGAAACCAAAATTCAAACCCCAACTCCCAAGTGGTATTATACACTTATCAATGGTTTGCCCCAGGATAGAACCCATAGGAATTTGTTTTCGTTATGCTCTACCATGGTATGGCTTAAAAATTAAGTATAACCAATAAGATTAGTGAATAAAAAGCTTGATTGCCATGGGAAACTAATTTTTATGAATTTTTTGGATGCTTGCTTATATAACCAGTTAGCTCTGAACAGGTAACTCATTCCATCAATCCCCTCTAGATGGGAAGTTTGATGGGAAGTTTTGCAAGGTTTTTTGACTCTAAACCGTGGCCCAGAACATTGAATTTTGCCCCTCCCCCTTCTGGGCCAAGCCATTGGTAAAATAACCTGAAAAAAAATTGCACCAAAATCCTTTGTCTAGTATTAGTAGTGCTTTATGTACTCTTCCCAACCGACTGGCAACCATATTTGAAGTAATTATTAGTTTTTGTCCTAATCTTAATTCTTGAACCAATCCCAACCAAACACCCTGAATATTGACACCACCTTGCCCCTACCCCGTCACTGGTTGACACCACCTTGCCCCTACCCCGTCACTGGTTGGAAAGAGGTTCCTGTGAATAGCTATACATCAATTCTTTCAATTACATATATACACTAAATTCATAAACTGGAATAGTCTTCTTAATGGCTCCCTCTGCCATCCTAAAAACTGACCATGCCTTTACATTGAGTGAAATGCAAGTGGTTGGTGTGATCCTTACGCTGAATGACTTGCACTAGGTATGGTCACCTTTCAAGATGACGCTAACTGCTTTTACTCTCAAACAGACATAAGCATTTATTTCATACACAAGAATATTTAAAAAGACAATAGAATATTTTCCTTTTAATACCTGCACTTAAGTAATAAGCTTATGTCCTTGTTGCGTTAAAAGTTAACTAAGACTACTTATAGTTACCAGAGAATAAAGTGAAAGTGAAAGTAAGATCAAACCTTTTGATTCTTGTGCATTTTCGTCATCTTGTGAGTCGTCGTCCATCTTACCAAAAAGCACTGTTTTAAGAAAATTCATGCGCGATTGAAAGTGTTTTGAACAATTTGTAGACTTCAATATCAATATCAAACAATATCAAACAAAACACAAACACCAAGAACCATTGAAGACTACTTCGAAAAAATTCTGCAAGGCGTTCCTGGCAGGCACGAATTTGTTTCTCTGTCGGGTCGGGTAGGGGAGGGATCGTACATGAAACTAAATACATTTTACATCAAGCTAGTGTCAAAAATACATGTTTTTTGATTGTTACATTTTACATTAGTTGACTTAAATTCTTGTTTTTCAATCATAATTCTACTCGATAATCTTTATATTCGAAAATAAAAACATCTAACACCTAAGTTTTGTTTGATCAGATGATTTAAATATAGATTGTTAAATACGATAAAATAAAAGTCTTAAGTCTCTTTTCGCCAAAAATAAGAAAGATCGACTTGAATAGCCCTAGCCTGAGTTCATCCAGCGTTTACCCGTAAATTGAATAGCCCAAGCCCTTCTCACACGGTTTGAACCCTTTTCGCGGGGGACCTGTGGTATTACACCAAATCAAGGCAGAGTCCAGGCAACATCTCATAAATTGTCCTTTTTGAGCTTGTTAGGAAAATAATTTTTGTTGGTAAAAAAGTCATGATTTTGGTACTCTCTGAGGGCTGCAGGAAACAAGTTTTTTAATCCGCGTTAATAGGTGTCAACGCAAAATTCGACCAATCAGAGCTGGTCTACTTGCCATGTTATGCTAGAATTACGTGGAAGTGTTTTGGCGCGCATTTGAGTTGACAGAGTAAACTCGACTGTTTGTGTGACAAATTTGTGAAATTATGGTGTAACTCCAACACGTCTTCGCTTAAAACACAACTTAAATAATGGATTTAATCGAATCTGGTCAAATTTTTAACTTCAAGCCGCCAAATGCCTTACAAACGAAACTTGATCTCTCCACTGGCAAGTCGATCTCACGTTTTGAAGAACTGTTTCTTTCAAGTCCACGAGCTAAAGTAAGAGTATTTTTTGAATCAATTAATTAGCATTCATGACATTCTAAAGCAAGGAAATGCTAAATGAGGCACAGTTATTTCACCTATTAAGAAATAATGTAGATTAAAATGATATCGCCAATCGATAATTTCGATAGTCGATGAAAATCGATTTAACAAATCGAAATCGCTTTTCTATGGTCTGTACGCTTATCGACAATGAAAATGACATCAGAAAGTGATCAAAACTCAAGTGGAACCATGAGCGTAGCGAGTGGTTTTGCCAAGTTTTGATCATTTTCTGACGTCATTTTCATTGTCGATAAGCGTACAGACCATAGAAAAGCGATTTCGATTTGTTTTTTACCATAACAAAGCCGAAAACAAAGTGAAACTTTCAAAACAAAATTGTTTCTGGTGCGCGCCGGTTCCGTGCGCGAGCGATTCGTCATTTTATTGGTCTGTACTACGATCGACAACGGCTCTCGACCAATCAGCGCGCGAGAATTCTACAAGTTATGGTAAAAATTAGTATAATCGATATTAATCAATTAATCAGTCGATAAAATCGATAACTAGTGTATAATGTAACAAGGTGTTTGATACTCCACAGGAGCTATCATCTACAGCAGACATCTCGTCATACCTCCCATCCAACATGTCTTTTAAAAACATGTCTGGTAATAGTACGATACATGACAATAGTAGTTCTAGCCTATTTAGCCCAATAGTAGTGTCACCTGACACCAGATTTGATGCACTAAAATCACAAGTTACGGAGGTGATCAGTAGTTTAAGGACTCCAAGAAGTGTCAAAGACAGGAATGATAGAGGTTCACGTATATCACCACCAGCAGAGGCTGTTTATAATCCAGATCATGAACAATTCTATCAAGACAGTGTTTGTTTACCACAAGATGTTAATAATGGTGAATTATTGGACGATGATATCAATGATGTAGAAGACAATCAAGCTATCTTAGCTCCTGGCGGTCTACTTACTGATGAAACTACTTGTGATGAAGGCAACAAGCAAGACTCTAAGCTGAATGATCCTGGTGATGTACTTACTGATGAAACTACTTGTGATGAAGGCAACAACCAAGAGTCTCAGCTGAATGATCCTGGTGATGTACTTACTGATGAAACTACTTGTGATGAAGGCAACAACCAAGAGTCTAAGCTGATTGAGGTATGGTCTAATTTTGTATTTGTTTGGTACACAGTGGAACCCAGCCTCATGACCAGCTAATTAATGTCCTGGCAGATTTTAAAAACACTCTCATACTTTTCTGTCCAGCTAAAAGAGCACTCTGTTGATATGGACACTTGGGTGGTAAGGTTAATGAGGTTTGACAGTGCATCTAATGATGGACATGCAGTAGTGGTTTATTGAGTTTGTAAGCTGTTTCTGTCCATTTTTGGGAGCTCCCCCCCTACTCTGGCAATGTTGTGTCTGTTTTCATTTTCTGTTCAATTCTTAGTATGATACGTATAACATTAGATGAGAGGGGATGGAGGTAAGGGTAGATGAGACTGCATATTGCACTTAGTAGAAGATCAAGATTTTAATGATGTTCAAAAGTATTTTGTTTACGATTGTAGCTAGAACATATCGTCCAGGGATTTTCATTGGCTTTTGCATTAATCAATTCATGTAATATAGACTCTGACAGAAACTCCAGATACTACAACAAGCAAGAAACCTCATAGTTTGTCAGATTGGTGTATAAAGGCTGTGAGATACAAAAGCAACTCACCAGGCATAATTGTTGAAGGACAACGGCCGTAAGTATAACATGTTCCTGGAAAATATGGCAATATATCATTGTTTTTTTATTTCGACTTTCTAGTTTTGACACCCTGTATAAGACATAGTCAACATAGAAAGCACACCCCTATTTATGTATGTTTAGATCTACAATGTATGCATGTAAGAGATACAACATTTAAAATGAATGGACTTAGGCAAAACATAGAAGAATAGTTTCATTCTCTACAAACAGACAACATTATATTGATAGTCCAGCATATTGTAACACTGAATACATGTCTTACACAAAACTGGTCATGCCATTAGAGCGGATTTCGTATGACTGTACAAAAGAACGGATCACAACACGGACACGGCACRGCACGGTCACGGAACCTCGCCTTCTAGGATTTCAAATGAAAGTAAAGATTTTCCAATGCTTCACGGCTACGGCACGGTACGGACACAGCACGAACGTACCGTGTTTTTTTGCACAGTCATACGAAATCCGCTCTATTGTTATACATGTTACATTGGTTTCAGTGAGGATGAGAAAGGATCCAAGTGGCACAGTACAACTATTGTCAAACGAGTGAATTCTTGTCTGTTGGAAACAAAGAAAAAGTCTCAATATCATCTTGTTGGTCAGATCCAAGAAGAGGTTACTTTACAGCAAGGTAAAACATACATGGCTGTACATTGAAGGGGAGCAAGTTTACCACCTTGTTTTTGATATCATTGAAATAAGTGAGATAAAGTATGCACAATAATCATGTGTTCTTGTTCAATGTACTGTTAACAATTTAGTACTGAATTGTCTTGGTTTGAGCTTTGATTGATGGTAGCACCTTCTGAGCTTAGTAACGTTTTTTAATCACATACATTTGGACTATTGATGTGGAACAATCTCAATCATATTTTACTGCTCTTTTTTTACCTGAAGGATTCTCAAAAGCTTTTGTAAAATCATTCAAGAATGGATTTCCTTCTAATTGGGAGAAACTTGTTCAAGAGCATTTTAATTCAGTGATGAGGTAAGGGAAATAAATAAACTTGATTTCCAAGTTTTGATATAGTAATAATCTATCAGACCTTTGTTGTTCAGCCCAGAAAAGAAAGATTTTGCTGCTGTTAAATCCAACCAAACAAAGAAATCTAGAGCCAAACCTGCTAAATCATACAAGAGAAACAAGAAAGATACACCTTCACACAAGAATGGTAAGACATTAACCATCTGATCCCAATAGACCTGCAAGTCAATGCTATTACCATTTGAGATATATGATATGGATGGCACGGAACAGCAATTGTCTTTACAAGGTCTGCAATAGGATAAGTATTGCCCAAGCTGTCTATTGCCTGTAAAGATTATCCAATGTACTGGTAATCTGGAGTAGAGTCTGTCGTATGACTTCCATATGCCTGGCTCTGATACACCTATAGAAGGCTATCATGTCCATAGAATGTTCATTAATTATATATTCAATCTTATCAATATATTCTTTTGGGCATATTCAGTTTAAGTTTAAGTCTTTGAAAATTTTCTAAGTTCTTCACATAATAGGGACATGAGAGCCTTCTATGTGTACATCAGCAACGTACATGCACGACCATATATGGAAGCCATATAACAAACCCTTAATCTCATAATCTCATGAAGTGCTATTGACTTACAAGGATGATAATGATGGTTAATAATAGTGACTTGATGTTTTGATTTATTTCAGATATGACACCAGTTGAAGTTGAACTAAAGGTAGGTAGCATTTACTTCGTTTAAACAAACTTCAATGTCAGTTTTTAAGAGCATTATGTGATCTACTAATGAATTCATGCTGTATGTAAGATTTTATTTAGACATAGGTTGCAACATAAGAGTTTGCGTTTTGTGACTGCCATTTTGTTGACTATCATGTTTACAGAGAACAAGTAGTGGTCGTTTGGTCAAGCCTCCATTGGCTTGGTGGAGAGGACAGAGAATTATGACTGACGGACAGCATAACTTGACAGGAATTGATCCTGGTGGCGAAGAACATACAGCACTGTCAGTGGGCTTATATGACTTTGATCTCAAACTTCCCAAGGTATGATAGCTTATTATCATGATAGCTTATTATCAGTGGGCTTATATGACTTTGATCTCAAACTTCCCAAGGTATAATAGCTTATTATCATGATAGCTTATTATCAGTGGGCTTATATGACTTTCACACTGTCAGTCAAGTGAGGCTGTGTAACTCAAAATGTCTGCCACTAAAATGATACATGTAGTACAATTACTAAATTAAGAGATGCTATAAAAAGTACTTTAAATAGCAATATATCAACTTGAAGTTTAAATTTTGGTGAGAAAGGAGCTTTCTTTATGTATAGTTTAAAACACGAGAGAGAGAGTGTTTTATCAGGTATAAAGATTCGAGCCGAAGGCGAGAATCTTTATACCTGATAAAACACGATCTCGAGTGTTTTAAACGGCTTAAAAAACTCCAACACTAATTTGAAACTCAAATCCGTTAAATTACTTGGAGAAATTGCCGTACAAATATGTTCAGAGATAAATGGGGCAAACTGATCATGCGYGAATCACTTTACAAAGCACTCTTGTCATCCCACATTGAATACGCATAAGGTAAAATACAATCGCTCTTGGCTGTTCACTGAAATCGGTTGACATCCTGCATTGGTCAATGATCAGGTTTCAAACCTGAGACCTTTGCTAGGGTCATGGACCTTTATATCTGATAAAGGTCACCCTTATTAGTATTCTTTATATAAAGAATACTAATAAGGAGTGTTTTATCAGATATAAAGGTCCATGCATGTGACCAAATAGGCTCATTCTATTGGCGTAGTAGGTCATTAATTATGTATGAGTATTTTAAAATGTGTTATTAGTCAACCTTCAATGCACTTACCAAAGTAATAAGAGTATCTATGCTACAAAACATTACACTGTGCTGGACAACACTGAACTCACTGTCATTTACTGGTATATTGTCATGAAATCAAGTTGTAATAAATGCTTTTTTAAGCCTTTTTACAAAAAGTGCGATAATTGAGAGAGTCAGTGTTTTTAAATCACAATAAAGCATCTTTTTTTGTATGAAGAAAAAACCTGTTATGTTGATCTATTGACTTGAATTATTTGTTTGAAAAAGTAAGTGTTTTCGTATTCATTTGTAATATTGACAATAGTTTACAGGGTTTTTTTTGTTTTTAGGATAAACAAATTATGCTGCAATCTAAAGTTATGACTCCAAAAGTTGCCAAGTTCAACATCACTCCAAATTCCAAAAAGCTAGAAAACAAACACAAAAACATTTCCAACAAATCAACAAAGAAATCTATTGCCAAAAATCATGTTGTTAGTAAGGAAAAAAGTAGTAGCTTAACTGAAACAGATGATTCTATTATGGAGGACAATGCAAGCATTGCATCTCAGATGAATCAAGTAATGGAGAATGAAAGCAAGAAGACACAAAACTCAAAAACATCAGCCAAAAAGCCAATGAATGTAATGCAAGTAAGAAGTGGTGGTAAAAACAAAGAAAATGAAGAAACTGTTGACACTGTCAGAAGAAATATTTCTTTCAGTGATGATTCTGATACCAATACAGAACATCGTACAAAACCAAGAGAAATATTGAACTATAGTAAGCAAGTAGAATTAGAAGATAGTGATAAACAATCAACTGAACTTAGCTCTCAAGATGAAGAAGATAGAAGACCAAAGAACCATAGACAGGCTGCCAGGAAAAGTAAAGATGAACCAATTAAAGTCAGCTCTCCAGAAGAGGATTCACACAGAGTTAGAAGAACAAGGAATCAAAGACAGGCTACCAGAAAAAATCCAGAGCAAACAAGCAAGCTCAGCTCTCATGAAGAAGATTTAGACAGCGATAGAAGAACAAGGAACCAAAGAAAGGCTACCAGGAAAAATCCAGAGCAAACAAGCAAGCTCAGCTCTCACGAAGAAGATTTAGACAGCGATAGAAGAACAAGGAACCAAAGACAGCTTACCAGGAAAAATCAAGATGAAACAAATGAGCTCAGCTCTCAAGAAGAAGATTCACACATTGGCAGAAGAACAAGGAACCAAAGACAGCTTACCAGGAAAAACCAAGATGAGGCATATGAACTTATTTATGAAGAAAATGAACAACAAACCAAAAATAAGAAGAAACAACTCACAAAGAAGAAAGCCAATCATCATGCAAGTGATGAAAGTTCTCAAGAAGAAAATGATGATAGACATTGTAGTCTTAGATCAAAAGGTAGAACTAAAACGATTGAAACCAAAAACCAGGCATTTACCAGACCATGGAAGACAGATGACAACAACCACCAAGCACACAACCTGAGACTTACTCAACAAGCTTCAGACATGGCAGTTGAGGTTTGTTGTTCTCATTCTGTTTAGCTGTTCTATAGCTTACTATGGATTCTAAATGAGTCTCAATAGAACTTTGGCCACTGAAACAATTTTTCATTAATTTTTTTTTATAAAGCTTCAACAACCTTTCTACAATTTTGTTTTAATTTTAATACTCCATTTTACAATTCCAAACGCCATCTTGAAGGTAGCTGAGCCTTTGTATGAAATCAAGACAGAAGTTGAGCTTGTATTCTTTTGACTGTAAGACAAAATGACACATGAAAGAGCTAGTATGCTTTATTTAGAAGCTGTCTAAAAATTGCCCAAGCTCGAACAAGTAAAATTTTGCAGGTATAATTTTTTTTGGAATTTTCATTGAAACTTAGTGGGCATTTAACCTGATTTTCAGGCAGGTTCCTATTGAAGCTTAGTACTCAAGCCCTGCTAGATGAAATCAGGCTCAAAGTCAGTTAGTGTCATTATGCTAATGATTGGGGCCATTTTGTAAAAGGGTACTGAAGATTGGTTCAATTTATTAGGAAAATCTAATTTGTACAATATTGGGTCTGAAAAGTTTGTTTAATATGGCATAGGCACTTTTCATTTTCTTAATCTGCTTTATTGTTGTACTTTTAATTAGAGATTTTGTAAATTCAATGTATTGTTATAATTTTGTTCTGAATCAGTGGAAATACTTAATATAAAGATAATATAGTGTTATGTCTGTGTGAAGGAATCTTAATATAAAGATAATATAGTGTTATGTCTGTGTGAAGGAATCTTAATATAAAGATAATATAGTGTTATGTCTGTGTGAAGGAATCTTCTGATGAAGAAGAAGCTGAGGCCATTGCAGCCATGGTCAGCAAGGTCAGACAGAGAAGAGCAAACAATGATAGTCAAGAAAAGCCAGCAAATACTAAGAAACCTGTACCTGGTAAAAGTCAAAAGATTTTAGATGCAAATGAATGGAAAGAAGAAGAAATACTTAGATTAACAACGTAAGTATCGTCCTTGTATTTTATGAAGTAGTTCTTGTCTTGGACATTTCATCATACAATTTTATGAGGTAGTTCTTGTCTTGGACATTTCATCATACAATATAATCCCAATAATAGATAGACCCAAGAAGAAAGTGGTCTAAAGTGGTTTTCATTGGTAGTGAATGGTTTTTACTTGGGATTTTAATTTGAAGATGTATATTGGTAGTCTGTGCAGGCTGTTATTGGATGTTGATTGAGATGTTCTTTCATGTGGGTTTTTAATTACCTTCCATTTTCACCATATTGTATCCTACAAAGTCACAAAGTGTACTTTCCAAGACATAAGTTATCCATAGTGTTAATGATGGCTCCATGTAGTAGAGTGTTTTGTATAATGAGTTGATAAAGGATGTTAACTATTGAATATTTTTCTTGTCATTGGGTTTTAGTTGGTAGTGTTCCAACCTCTTGTTGTGTGATTAATGTATAGAGATGGTGTTCAGAGATGCTAGCATACTATTTTCCTCTTGTTGATTACAATTATTAATATTAATATTGTTGCTGTGATGTTTTTTCCTTGACTGTTTAGATAGGTTTCAAACATCAAGACTAAAATAACTCTAACAATGGATATATTGGATGGATTTATTCTGATCTGTTTCAGAGCCCTCCACAGTATTCCACTAACTTCACCAAGATTTTGGCAAAAAGTTTCTGAGACGGTGGAAACAAGAACAGCGCAGGAGTGTCAATCAAAATATGAAGGACAGCTGGAAAAGAAACCAAGAAAAGATAATACAAAATCAAAACAACAAAAACCCAAACAAAAAGGTAAGTCATTTATTGACCTCTACAACGAGTCTAAAATCTAGGTGAGTAGCCTATTGTCATTTATTGACCTCTATAACGAGTCTAAAATCTAGGTGAGTAGCCTACTGTGGTACTCTGTATATAGTCTATTAACATCCTTAAACAATACCATAAATTATACAGTATTTAGTGTTTTCTTTATGTTGCACAACTGTATGGGACAGTATTTATTGTAAATTAACTACATGTAGTTGTTTTGTGTTCAGTTGTAGCAATCACTGGAGGAGTGGGTACAGTTAAAAGGAAAAGAGAGCTAAGGGACCTAATTCAGCAAAATAATTCTGGATATTATGATGATATATTTGACTCAACACCTTACAAAAAGTCCAAGACAAATTTCAAGGTAATTGTACTGCACAAATACAGCAGTCTACAGATTTTAGTCAGCAGATTTCCTATGACTGTTCAAAGACATGAATCACAGATACAACATAGCTACATGTAGGTTACAGAGTCTGGACTGGTAGTGACACCAAATAAGAATATTGATTTTTGTTTTTCAAGCAGTCATGTGAAATCTGCTCTATGTAATAAGTACAGTGAATGTAATAGGCTTGTTTTGCTACTAGACATAATTATCTCATTATAGCGCAGTTGGTTTGTAAGCATGTATTTAGAAGGCAATGTCATTGGCATGATTTCATAGGCATAAGATATGAACATTTATTGGTTTCAGATTACAGTAGATCCATGTTCTAGTGATAATGACGATGATGACAGTGACTTTATTGAGAACCAAACCAACTTCAAAACCCCTAGTACCCGGACCCCAAGTAGCCGGTTTAGGCCCCTAGGACCTGGTACTTCTGAAACACCAACAGAGGAGTTGATCAGTCCCAGTCTTCTGCAACCAGTAGATAGGTAAATAGATGCATATATTGGAAGAAGGCTGTTTGACAGGATTGCTCTGCCATTGTTCTTCAATGGTTTCAATACTTTGCATGACAGCTTATGTCTTCTGTTGCTAGAGCTGGCATGGATCACTACATTCAGCGCATGAAACAAGGCAAACGAGGATTATATGCTCAAACCACTAAGGTCAGAAACTACCCGGTAACATAGTTTTTGTGCGACATGACAAAGCAAAGAGCAGCTGTAGAGGAGCCTTAGGGGGGTGGGGCAATTCAAAATGAACAAAAGGTGGCCTCATTTTGAAGCTTATAATAAGCAAATTTGTATCGTTCAGGTTGCGGATCTTTAACGTTGCAGTGTTGAGGTTATGATATGGGCTTATTGGTTTCTGATACCCCTGTCTTCATTTATTTTAAATTATCTTCTCAGGTAACCAAGACATCAACTCCAAGAAAAGCAGTTTCTATTCCAATCCCTAAAGTAAATGGATCAGTATTTGAGGTGATAGAATCACCTGATCCAGACTCAGATGAAGAGAGCGATGATTACTTCTCAGAATAAGGCCTGACTTCAAAAGTTCCAGTTTCTTACTGCAAAACTGTATAATAGTTGAACAGGGATGCAATATTTGTAGTCACTAGTAGGACAATTTCTTTATCTTGTATTAGACATTTTCTAGACTCTATAAAACATTAGTCCAGTCCCACAGTTCAGAGATATTTTTAGGGTTAATATAAGATGAAATAAAACGCAAAAAATCTTTCATTGTTAGTGACAGCAATGGTGAACATGGCAAACATGGGGAAGACACAGCTGTATTATGGGACTGATGCAAAATGTGATGTTTCACTTGTGTTTCAGGCTTTTTAACAAACATCAAGCATTACATCTTTCCCAAGTATATTCAAGTGTGCAAGTCAACAAAATTAACAACAGGGTTTGTGCTACTCCTTGAGAAGTCCTGGAATTGAAAGCTCGTTTTAAGGGCGTTTGAATGAAAATACCTTGACTATAATGGGAAAAATCACTAAAACTGCTGGAAAACTCCTTGAATCTGTTTTTAGCTTTTGGATGAATGTGGCTATTTTTGAAAATCACCAGTGGAAAAGTTTGCAAACATTTAAAAGAAGTCTTCAAAAATAGTCCTTGAAAATCACATTTTTGTGCTGAAAAGTCCTGGAATTTTGTAGTGAAAACACGAACCCTGTAATAATTTCAAACCTATCAACATGATACACTAGACTAGTTTTTGTGCATCTTCCAACCCTTATAACTTCCAGAGGATTTGATATTTTTCTTTGAAACTTTCAAAGCTTATCTTTAGCTTTGATATCTATCATTTGAGTGATTTCATTTGTCAACTTTATGATTTTAACAATATGCTAATTAGTGTCGGCCATTGTGAAAGTGGTGTATGCATTCCATAAATTTTATGACTATCTTGAAATGTATACACACTGTTTAGGTAGGCAGTTCCATCTTCTGTATATGGCCACATCCTTTTGTTCAGTGTTTAATTTAGGTTATGTAAGTTTTGAATTCATAATCATATCTTTGCCAAATTTTATTTTTTACTTTTTGCTTCACCACATAATATAAGCCTATTACATAGGATTAGATGGCAAGTACACTGTCCAACCAATCTTCTAAGTTGTCTTCTTTCTTTGGACTAGATGGTTTTTGTGATGAGTCTATTATGTCTGAAGTTCTTGCCTGTTTTTTGCTGCTGTTAGTGTCTACGTCTTTCTTCAGAGAGTGGTTTATTTGTTGTGTAAACTGCTTTTTAATTGTACTGTCTGTACTGGTTTCTTCCACATTCCCTAGCAATGATTTTATTGCATGTTTTGCAGTATGGTCTGTTTGATGTGAAGGTTGCTTATTTTTCTTGTCAAGAGATAGCAACATATCTAGTTCATCTTCAAATGAGTTATCACTTTCTGTATTTAATGATGCTATTCCACTTGGTGCATCACAACAATGAATGTCTTTTTCAATTTTTCTATCACAAGGCAAAAATTTGATTTTCTTGATTGCTTTTATATTATTTTGACTTTCTGGGAATGTTTCCAGCATTGCAGTGTCTTCGCATTCAGGAATTCTTTTGCTATTACCATGTGTTGGGATAGCTGTGTCTTCTCCAATCTGGTGATGAACACAAGTAAATCAATCAATCTAAAATAAAAACCAACAATTTGGCCTTCTCCATAGCCTTTTTGTGAGGGTCTTGGGGGAGGGGGGGTTACCGCTGTAGACAAGGAACTGACCAAGCTTCTTTGACTAGGCTTTCAAAATCTCCAACACCAAATTACCACTCAATCATAATCCATAGATGATTTCTATCCAATCCAATATCAATCAATGAAGATTTGGAATATTTTGGTCAAAGTCAGTCTATAATGCTCTCTCTGTAAGCATTGACTTATTTGTGCCAACTGTGGAGTTGTTACCAAGAAACTAAAATTTCATGACTTTAACTTGATTTCATCCAAACATACAATACAAGAATAATGGTGCTTACATTCAGTTCCTCTAGATTTAGTCTTTCATGCATTGGTAATGACTTCAAGGATTCACTCAGTTCTTGGACATTAATTTGCAATAAATATTGAGAAGTCTGTGATCAGAAAAAATGAAAATTTTCTCTCAAACACTGGTTGCATGATATGTTTTGGTATCAGCACATAAAAACATGACATCATTGTCTACCAATAACATTATTAATGTATAAAATCATCTTGTACCTGAGAATCAGTGTCTTCCCAGTCCTTCTCATCCTGAAACCTGAACTGAGAATGAGAATCCCCTGGTGAACGGAATTATATTAATTAACAACTGATTCCTTCTTTGACTTTCAAATGAAACTAAAATGTACTTTGACCATTAGGAAACAAATATAGGGGGCTTATAAATAATACTTATAAAACAAAAAAGAAAGAAAAGTGTAAATTATGTAACTTTGAAAAGGACTTCTAACAAATTGAATTATCATATTTATGAGTTATGGTGCCAATCTTTCAAATTAGTTATTTCCCACTGAGGAGTTTCTTTTAGTTTTTGGGAACCTAAAAGTAAATTATATATTGTCCCTAAGGGAAGTGTAGTCAATGGAGATCCTGTGTCTAGCAGATTGTTACCTGCTCCTTCCACGAGAGCAGAAAAATCAGCTCCTCTTCTTTGAATACTGTGAGATTTAACCTCATCATCTGAAACTAAGCATTTCTTATCATTACAATTGCATAACAGATATCAGTGACAATGTTAATTTTATTATAGATCTTACCATCAGAGTCATCATATCTCATCCAATTGCTTTGTATTTTTCTCCTGGAGAATGTCTTGGTCTCCTATGACGATATAACTAGTTATATCAATATCATTAACATTGAAGTATTATTACATGATTGAGTCAGGTTTTTTTGTAGGTCTTTATCTCTCATATCACCCTGGTTATTATAAATTCAAGTGTTTTATACAGATACTTCCCACCCCTGGTTGTTACAAAATTACTTCTGGGAATGATTGATGATCCTTATTTTTGGGTGAAAGCCTACTCAATCATGTAATAAGGCAGATATTGACCCCAGTTGCGGTGGAAGTTGAACATTTATTAGGAAAAGAGGGGCCGTACCAGTTGTAGGGGTAAGGTTATAGAGGGTATGGCTTTAATTGCCGTCTTAGTGCCTTGTCTTTTCAGAATGGAGCAGAACTGGAGATACTCCACTTCATATTATTTTTTAGATGTTTCTTTAACAAATAATCTCCATTGTTAAATAAAGCATTCTTGCAGTAGCTGCATACTTTGCTCTTTAAACTAAGTAAAAATAGATTAATTATTTATCTCACAGGCAAAAACCAATCTGATATTTAAGACATCTCAAGCTTTAAATGAATGTAAGCTTAGGTATTATTAAAAGCTTACATTTTCTTGAGTTTTTCCTGTTAGTTCATCTTTGCAAGTGGTCTTTGCTGCAACTTGTGCTTTCCTCTCGTCTCTAGCGTCATCATTATCTTTTCCTTCACCCTTTTTGCAGTTTTTATTGGCGGGAATGCCGTGTTTTTTCTTGTAATTGGCATTTTTCTTCTTCTTATGTTCGTCGGGTCGCATTTTCTGTATTCTGTACTTAAACCAAGTGACCAGCGGTTGCCTTTTAACAGGGGAGGGGTAAGTCTGTAGATGTTAAAAGCAAGTCTATTTTAAATTACATTTATCACTTAGCAAAAAAATGATTCTAAAATGAATAATAATATACAAAGCAAAGCTAGGTCAAGTTATTTTAGTTTTTTGTACCTTTTCATTTGTGAATAATATTTCACAAAAATAATGTTCTCTCCACTCCCCTATTACTTTTGTCGCTGACCAAACAAAACGCGGACACACACTTATGTAACTGCGATGTATAAAAGTTACCTGCAAAACTTTCAAACCATTTTATTTAATACCATAATCAAACCATTTTAGCCATAAATATGCGTAGTAGACTACAAAAACAAGTGCTTCAATTGTATCGTGAATTACTTAAGGCATGCAGAGGAAAAGAAGGTTTCAAAGAGCACATCCAGAGAGAATTTCGTAAAAATGCTAATCTTCCAAGAACTGATGGTATGCGAATAGAATACTTACTCAGAAGAGGGCAACATAATTTAAGAGAATTGCAGAAAACGGAGTGTCAGTCAATGGGATTCTTTGTGAAGGATACTGGTAAAGAGACATAGCATTCGGGTTTCTTGCGTAAATGGAATGTTGACACCACTAGAGGAAAACAAGAACTAGACTCCCTAGTTTTGTTCTGGTAGCAAGTATACAAAGGGAGCAAAAGATTTTTTAATAAAGTGTAGTGAAGATTGTCGTTGCTCTGAGAACAGCTTGGGCTCCACTACAGCCTAGTGTTGTGGCCCACCCGGGGTAGTCTGTCCCCTTTATTAGGGAGCGCCCCTCCTGGACTGGACTAGCAATTTTACTCTATATCACTTTGTGTGGTTGGAGTTTATTAAAGTGCAAATGCATGTTGGCTATTTTCTTTTCTGATTTGAAGTGTGTGCCCTGAATGTCATTTGGGCAGAGTATGTAAGTCACACCCCAAAATGGTTTATGCTTTTGGTTTATGGCTTGCCTAAAAAGTGTTGTTTGTTATTCTGTTTCACCATCTGGATGCTTAGCAACAACTATAATGACTTATTGTTCAGACATATGAAACCATGACTGTGTAAATAAAATGGTTTCTTGTAAAGATGCTTAATTTCTTTTAACATATAATTTTTGGTGTTGTTTTTACATTTCTTCTTGAGACCCTGGTATAACTTAACCAGAGCTATTCTTCCCAGTTACACTCCCTATTTCACATTGCATTTTTGTGCAAAGTATTGCGTTGTGAATGCAGAGCTTGATATGAAATTCATAAATCATGCTTTAAAGAAATTTCAAATTTGTAAATTGTAGAAAATAATACATAAACCAAAGAACATGATATGGGTACATTTGTTATACAACGTACTGATGACTATAGTATACTGACATAAATGTAAATACACATTGAATATCAATACCAATATGGTCTGCAATAAAACTATTTTACAAGCCATGGTGGTAATGAGTTATTAATCCAACTAAATCCATCATTCTTACTCCTCCCATGACTGGCTTGTTCAAAGCCTGTTAAGCATTAATCCAGGGTTTCAGTTAAACTCCATTGTAACCCATGATTAGTGCTAATTGAGTTTTACACAACCCAGCTCAGTTGTAGAAATAGGGTACTGGGACTATTTGCCTCAGGTGACATTTATCAGCCTCAAGTTCACCACCTACCAACATCAGTAACTAACCTTTCTTAGTACAAAAAATAAATATCATAATTACTTTCACATTGTATATCATTTAATGTGATACTTGCAGACATTCCCATCTGAAGGCCAAATGAGATGGCACAACTTTTGCCTACAACCATCAATTTAACAAGTCATCTTTTCAACATGCCTACAATAGTTCTCTGTGCCAGCTTGAAAGGTAGCCTTGATGATAGAAACCTTCTTTTACACCTACAGACAATTATTCACATTTATACTATCATTGCACTACAATGAATATGAGGTCTTCGTAAGTGGGCAGGAATTCTTCCTTGGAATACAAAAATCAAATTGCCACTAATATTTCTCATAGCCAAAGTATTATAAGAGCCTTACGATATTACAACTAGACAAATTAAGAAAGTCTTACTTTATTGGTTTGAATTCTTGAACAACTAGCTCATCTTTAGTGTTAAAAAACTGAATCAAGTAATTTTTTTAAATGTTGATAAGCACAATATTTGCCATATCAAAGAAGTTTCAGGGAGATCAAAAACTGACAAAGATACAAATTCTCACATGGTTTCACAAGTTATGCATGTTCACCTTTATTTTCATGCACAAGCATTTCTGCACCATAAACCTTGTGTATCATATTATTTTTTTATATAACTGGTATGCATTTAGTTCAATCTAGAGTTTCATGATTTCCTCTTAAAAGTGGGTTATTTTTATAATGAAAAAGTCAAAATCAGCAGAAAAATTATTAATCAAGAAATCTTTCAATTATTCATAGTTGTGTCACTATAATGCATACCTTCTAGGAAATTTGAAAACAACTATTTTTGACATGGTAAATTGTATGTTTAACCTGCTTTTAATCTTATCACTTTACTTTAAAGAACCAGTATACCAGCATTAAATGCAGTTGCATTTCAGATTTTTCATATATGGAAAATGAGCTTTCTTCAAATATCCATAATCATTTTACATCTCTCAGTTTTAAGGTGGATCTAGAAATATCTTCATATCCATAAAGTATAAAGGCATCAATAATAAAGAGTACGTTTTTGCTTATGTTATGATGCATTTTCATATTAAAACAAAAACATAAACAAAAGCTTGAAAGCGATGCCTATGGACCATGGCTCTTTAAGTATTTCAGATTGTCAATTAGCATTATTTGGTCTGTTGTCCAGGAAAAGTAGCCAAAGCCTTTAAGGCTATGGCCTTTAAGAAATATAAACAAATCCATTATTATGGTCATGAAAACCTTTTGCAAGGTTAAAGAAATAGAACTAGCATTCTTAATATTTTACTTGCAATTCTAGATCAGAATGATAGCTATAATGCTTAGGTTATGATGGTTACTCATTATTTCCAGTAAAAGAATGCATTCCATCCATACCTCCAGCTAACCTTTGTAGAATATATTCCTAGCATTCCCTAGCAACCATTACAGAACGGCGACCTGACCATTTACCAGATTAATGCAAACATTATATGAAACCTCTCTACTTTGTGCTTGATTCATAAAACTTACTATTGTGAAAGATTTTGTAACAATCACACTATGACAAAAATACTTGATTGTGGTCAATTTTAGAGGTGTACAGTAGATGTATGTCACTAATGTTTACTGTAAGATGATGTCATACCAAGATTTCAAAGATGATCTTGACAATACCAACAAATAACATCCACAATACAGACTCTTCTTTTGGTTCACCACTATCATCAGATGGCAACCAACCTACTCTTCCTTGTCTAGCAGTGTTACTATCAATAAAATCCACTACCACTGTCATTGTATACTTGGACAAGGGAGAATGAACATGGCCATACACAGCTATACCAATTGGTCTTTCAAATCTCTTGGGAATAGTTACAATATCCCTTCCACAAGTACTCGATTGAAGGTCATAATTCTCAAAGTCTGGTTTAGCAACATGAGTAGAAACATACATATCTGCGTCTCCTTCTAAGCTGTCCAGTATCAAAGTTATTTCACCATCTCGTTTAAGTGTAAAGTAAGTGTAATTTCCAGCACCAACTTCACCATGAAAAGTCTGAAGAATCTGCTCACTCTGGCAAGTGATGAAGAAGGAAAGAAGAGTGACAAGAAATTTAGTCATCACTTGAAATGTTTTCATTGTTGGTACAGCATCTAAAAAGATTAGTGATTAGTTTAGACAAGTGCAATTTGTGGCTAAACATCAAATCATTTCATCACATAAAAACGCGCGTCTACATGTATAATATAACCAAGTACAGTAATGATTTCGATAATTCCTTTAAATACAATTGTACTTCAAATTCAAATGTTTTGTGGTGTTAAGTTAATAGTATCATGACAGGGTGGTCTAAAAACTTTAGTTCTTCATGCAAATAATCGAGCACATTCCGCATAACAATCACCGAAATAAATTACCATTGCAGTGAAACAACATTATAATATTATAACGTTAAACGAAAGTATCAATGCATGATAGAGAAGTCGCTTGCAGAAAGAATGAAGTTTTCAAAAAGGACAATTTAGCAAAAGTTGACATTATGAAAATACCGGATCTTGTGCTTGGAGTCTTCTGATTGTAGGTCAGTAGGCCTAACTGGGACCTGTAGATGGCTTTACTATGCCAATGAGTATTCTAAAATATTTTATCATGTGACAATTGAGACGTGGAATAACACTTAAAAACGATTATTGCTCAAACAAAGTCATTATTATCACTTGGAGTCTTATCCTAGCTCGTCCTAGTCCACCAGCTCTACTACCTCGCTTTCGTGTTATCACAGGTAGCCCATGGACCGTCACGAACCGTTCGAAGCGAATAGACGATTTGCAAATTTCACCTCAGTAGTCAAACACAAAAGAATCAAGACGAGGCGTCGTGCGTAAAGCTTTTTTCTTCTTTTCAGTAATGCATGAGCTTTATGCACGGCGCCTCGTCTTCGTAATCGGCTATTATGCACTAGTCAAAGGAAACCCCCCCACCCCCCTCCAGCCCGGGACAGGGTGGGGACTATGTGGGGCTTGGGATCACATTTGACCAGCAATGATGCCCAAGGGGGTGGGGATAAAGTGAATATTTTACGAGAGTTTCAATATAGTCTGGGCATAGTGGGGCATAAGGTCGGGATTGATCAAATAATTAGAAAAGGCCTGGAAACTCTTAAAATGCAACTTGGGCTTCCTGTGGTCCTATGAATGTCATGGACCCCCCCAACAGATAAGTTGAATTGCATGGCTGGTCATGTAGAAATTGCTGTAGAAAACAAAGGATTTTATTCAAAATGGCATTTTGTTTCACTTAAATTTCACGGTTATATTCTAATAGTTATCTCTCTGTTTTGGTTTTTGTCCCCAGGGGGTCGGAGATTTGATTTCCCATTCTCCCCCACGATGTGGCGTATTTACCAACATTTGCCAAGTCCATTTTGCAAATGCCCCACATATCCCCACCC